CCCTTCCTTGTTCCAGCCCGTGCCAGGCCCCACCCATTGGAGGAACCAGCCAATTGGGAGACACCAGGGGTGGCACCACCCACAGTGGGCTGGGCCCTTCCACATTACTCAACAATCAAGAAAAAGTCTTACAGACATACCCACAGGCTAATGCTATAGAGGACGTTCCTCAATTGAGGTTCGTTCCTTCTTTCCAAGTATGACAACTGAAGCCAACCACTGCTTGTCCCAATATTCTAATTAAGGGAACAAATAATAATGAAAAGCAGAAAAAAGAGATTTAATCAAGGGGCCCTGGGAGAATAGACAGATAAAGGGATTCAATGACCCCAAATTCATCTTTTCATACTGGTTTGAGCTTTAGATTTAAATGGGGGCAGGGGTCATGAAACATGCATAATTATGCAGTTATGGTTAAGGTGTAGTCTAGTTGATCAGTGTCCCAGTTTTGGTTCTTGGGAGATGATTACTGTGCCCCAGAGTGCAACCTTGTCCTTGTGGATAATTGTCCTCATCAGTAGGGTAGTTTGTCTTGTGGTGGCTTTGCTGTTCCTGGGAGCTAAAGTGACTGAAGGTTTAAGATAATGATGGAGCTCTTAGGTGCTCTTTAGAAGTCAGGAATGGACCAAGACCTTGTCAAAAAGCTAAGATGCCCCTATCATGCTTATCTTTGCACTTTCAGCCTTGAAGAGTTATGAGATAGGTTAGGTCTCATGTTTCTAGATAGAAGCTCCTGAGTGGTTAACATGCCTGTGCACAGAGGACAGCAGCTGACTCCGATGCAGAATAGAAGGATAGGAAAAATTATGGGGCTACGAGAAGGGTGGGGAACCTCTCATCCAGAAATCCAGTTGAAGCCTCTCCCCAGCACAGAAGCAAGAATTCCAGCACAGGGACTAGGGAGGAGATGGCTCAGTGGGTAAAGCACTTGCCATACTGCAGCATTACTAGCCACATTACAGTTATACCTGAATCAATAATCAGCCTGACTCAGTGTTAGTTTTAAGGCCAGGAGTGGATTGGAACTCTGAGGCACTCGTTCCTTCTGATGTCACATGGAACTGTGCTCCCAAGCCAGACCTAACCCATACTTGTGTTCAAACAGTCTTTCCAGCATGAACTAGAGAACTATGAATTTGGATCCACCCTTATCAGAGATTTTTACCCTTTGATGTTTAGGCTTAAAATATCTCATATACACAATGTCCAGCAGACTTCTCAGTTCCAACAGGAATCCAATTCACAGCTTTCAGCGCTTTGATGTGCTAATTCAAGCACATCCACATTCATTCACTTTCTTGGACCAAGGGCAAAGTGGGGTTCTGAAGGATCAAGCTCATATGCCCAGGCCTCAAGAGGAGCACGCAGCTCAGTGAGCTAGCTTGCTTACATTGTAAAGAGTAGTTTCTTGGTTCTAGGTTAGTCCAGATTCTGTCCATATTGTAAGTCATTCCTACACTATGTAAGCATGAGAACCACAGTTTGGATCCACAAAGCCCATATAAAAGCCAAGTGTATACGGAAGCCCACTTGTAACCCCTGTGTACGGGAGACAGAGAATCTAGGAGCAAACTAGCTGACTAGCCAGACTATCTGAAACAGTAAGCAAGAGACCCTCTCTCAGTATATAAGGTGGAAAGTGATGAACAAAAACACCTGACATCAAACTTGGGCCTTCACCCACAGGAGCAGACATGACACCAGCATATATATGCACATGCACATACACATACCCACACACATACAAACACTCTGTGCACATACATGCATGAACACTGTGAGAAATGTAAATAAAATGTACAGTCTTTTCCATCAAAAATTTAAATGAGACCAAGGAAGTTCTACCTTTAATGAAATTTGTAAAGAGGTCATCCGGCAAAAATCCCTCCCTCGGGCATTTGATTCTAAGATCAAAGTGTATGCTCAGGGTTGTATCCTGTTCTCAAAAGTTGCATTTTGCTTATCATTTGTGCAGCCCTATCACACAAGAGTTCTAACCACTCAGAGTGGAGCACAGGACCCCTTTGAGTTGGGAATAAAATCCCAGTAGGACTCCTGAGCATGATTTACCTGCTTACTTGATAAAGCACAGTCACACACCCTTCTGCAGAAGTAAACTGTCTTGCTGAAATACTTTGGATTGTATGGTCATTTTCTTGAGTCCTCAGACCCATTTCTAACAACAAAACGCAACACACACACACACACACACACACACACACACACAAACTGCTTAAGGCTTTTTCCCCTTCTTAGCTCTAAACCTGCAATTTTCTAGGAATCTCACCAGAAACCCCATGACAGGGAAAGGACATGTACTAAAGCTTTATGCAACCCTAGTTGCTCCTGATTTCACTTTATCAGATTATAATTCCTCCCCAAGGCGCTTCCAGACCCACCCTATAATCTGATTTGTCAAAAGAGAAAGAAAAGGAATAAAAAGGTTTCTTAGCAACCTTTTAAATGTAACTTCAGGGGCTGGAGAGATGGCTCAGTGATTAAGAGGACCCAGGTTTGATTTCCAGCACCCACAAGGTGGCTAACAGCCACCTGTAATTCCAGTTCCAGGAGATCAAACGCCCTCTTCTGGCTTCTGTGGCAGGCACTGCATGACGCAGTTGCATTTATATACATGCATACAAAATACTCATATTCAGAAAATAAAAGAAATTAAAAATTTAAAGGTGTAAACATAACTTCAGAGTCACCAAGTGGTATTCACTGCTAATGGCAAGCGTCATAGTTGCAACTCTCCCTTGAGCCTGTGCCCACACTTTCTAGTATCTTTTGCCTTCTTTCTCTGAGCACCTTCTTTTCTCCTGATCCTTATGCTTTAAAATATCTGTAATGAAATCTCCAACTATATATTGGCTAGCTCTGACTTTATTTTTTAATCCATGAAGTCCTAACTTGGACTGAGTTGAGGTCCTAAAAGATTAGGGGGCACACTTCAGGCTGCTGAGGGTGACAGCATGGAGCTGGACCTTTGCCCCCTCACTGCTGACAACACAAGGCAAAGTAGATATGAAAAATGAAGGCAGAGATGCCAGGCTTTACTCTGGTTTTAGCTGTGTGAACTAAATTTCTGTGAAAAGCAGATCATTGATTCCTGCCCACCTCAAAGCTAAGAATGATATCAGAAAGCAGCTAAGGGAACAGATAGATTTCCTTCCTTACTATAACCTGTTGTTGATGCCAAAACACAGCTCTCGTCTCAAAGTATAAGCCATTTATTCTGTAATAAACTATGAATGACCACGGTCCAGGAACATGGACTCAGGCTGCATCAAAGACCATATTCCAATGTGGTAACAGTTTCATGAAGTTTTTATAGTTACAGAACAGAATAAAATCATATCGCAAGGCACTTTTGTTTTTAAAATTAAGATTTATTTCTATTTTTAATTATGTGTATTCTTATGTCTATGTGATGATAGGTGCACATGAGTGTAAGTTGCCTGCAGAGGCCAAAAAAATGCTTCAGATCCCCCGGAGCTGGGGTTACAGGTGGTTGTGAGCCACTGGATGTAGGTGCTAGGAACCAAACTCCCATCCTCTGGAAGAGCAGTAAGCACTCTTAAGTAAGCAGCCTTCTATTGAGCCCCATCTTGGGCTATCTTCAGTCTCCTCCGTAGCAGCTCATTTCTCTCCTCTGTGTCTGACCTAACATCCTGTGATTATTAGATACATCATTTCAGAGGGTTTACTTAATCAACCTTGAAGAATCTTTTTGTGGCTTTTCTGGAAACCTCTGTTTATAATACCTGTCTGATAGCCTCTCCGCTGTATTTGGTAAATGCACTGATTTATGAGTTTTTTTTTGTTTTGTGACATGGAAGTTCATGCAATGTTTTCTACCAGAGCCCATGCTATTTAAGGCAACCTGAATCTGGGTTCCTGGACAATGGTCATTCATATTTGACTCAGAATAAATTATATCTCTCATTTCCTGTGTATAGAGCTACGTTTCGCATCAGCAGTTACCTTGGTGGCCTACACAACGCTATCTTGTAAAAGCAATTTCTCAGTGCCTGTTCTAGGACCCCTTCAAGAGAGGGAGGTACTCCTCACAGGTCTCCACCAAAACCAAGGGCATGGTATGCCTCTTTTATCTCTGCAGGTGGCCAAGGCAGAGGAGGGAACATTTCAAATAGATAGTGGATGCTGCTTTGTCTCATGAAGCGAAACCTGAAGAAACACAATGACCATAAAATGCCTAAGACATCTATGTCTACAGAAACTGTCCTAGTAAGCAACGCCAGTGACATAAAAAACACATCTTGTCCCAACCAGCCAGAATTCTCCTGGCTGAGAGCTGATAGAAGTGGTCATATACAAACGCACACTGCTTTCCATAAAAAAAGGCTGTCCAAGAATCTAAGGGGCTGAGCTGAGAGTCCAAGAGCACATTTTTCCCAGGCCTTGAACCCTAATGACCTTGCCCAGTGAGGGTATAAAACCTGTTCTAGACCAGCCGCTTCTATGTACTTTCTAGTGCTCCACCTGCCTTTTGCAAACAAATGTAACTTATCCAATGCTATTCCTACCGCTGCACTTTGGGAAGGTTTAGTTTCAAGAACTGGGCTCAGTAACAGTGCTTAGTAGCTTACTGGTGGGGACTCTTACCTACAGCCGATTTCAGAGGATTTGCACCAGTCCAGGACTTCGGAGCTGATGAGATGGTGACATGCAAGTCTGGATGATGAAACTTTGCATTTTGAGCAGGTATTGTAATGGGATGGGGAGATTGTAATAAGACTGGGAAACCTTGGGATACCGGCAATGCTTTTGCCTCTGGGACACGGACGTATCCTTGGTGGCCAGGGAGAAGGGCCATAAGACCATCTGGCTTACAGTATTGGCTGTCTCCTGTGGACCTAGGATCACAGCACACTTTGCTAGCTCCCTAGAGGTGCAGGTGGGCAAGAGATACTCCCTAGAGGCAGTTTGCCAGCGTCAGCGGTTGTCTGCACGCGTTGGCCGTCCTGTTAGTGCCCCGGATGCAGACCCGTCAGATGCGGGGCTCCAGGGCCCAGCAATCAGGCCTGGGCGGGTGCGGGGTCTACCTGCTGGCAGCTCTGCTCTGGCTCAGCCTCCTGCCCCTATATGCCCTGGACTCCATGCCCTCGCAGTCCACCAGGTCCTCTGAGTTAACCATGTCCTTGAAATCCACCAGAATCCCAGAGCTGTCAGAGGGTAAGTGGATAGGTGCAAGAGCCGACCTCAAAGGAAAAGGCAGGTTTCCAGTGGGCCTGTCCCCTCCCTTGTGAAGTGGGTAGTGGGAAGGCCGGCCTTTACACTGAGCCTGGAGGTTTGAGGACTGGGGCATATACGGGATGCCCCTCTCCCCAGCTGGCTCTTTCCCATTGATCCCAAGCCTCCTTGGTTCTGGATCAAGGTCCTGCACTAGGCTGAGTGCTATACCACACTCTTCATGGGGTTGAGATGGAGGGCACAGCCACTTAGATGACCATGACCAGAAATAACATCTCTGTCAGCCTCAGCTTCCCCCTCTTCAAACAGGGCAGTGCTCCTATATAAACAAGATCTGAGGAGAGCCAGGTGACACCCACCTTTGTGCCTGCACCTCTGCTCTGTGGCCATTTCCTGATACACCCCTTTCTCTGCCATCCAGGAGGCTCATGGTTCCCTGAACCATGCCACTCCACCCTGGACCTTAGATATACCCACCTGGGAAGTGACAGGAAGAGTGTGGTGTCCCCTGGGTCCTCTTGATGCTGACATTTGGGGCACCGAGCACATGTGTCCTGAATGCTCGTGCCTTGTTACTGGGATTGTCTCCACAGCATGTGGCAGGACCAAATTCAGCAGGAGGCTCTTTGGTGATCAGATGGCAAGGTCTGAGCGGTGGCCATGGTAGGCCAGTCTGCTCTTTTGTGGCAGGCACATCTGTGGAGCAGTCCTCATCGACAAAAACTGGCTAGCGAGCGCTGCCCACTGCTTCCAAAGGTGTGTGCTCCCTCTGTAGGACCTGCTGCTGGGAAGGGCTTCAGGAGAGGAGGTACTAGGTGGGAAAGAGAGGCTTGAAGGGCTCACAGCAGGTTTTTCCTTCCAAGCTTTTTTCTGGTATAGCTTGCTGTCGGCAGGAGGCCCCATGCTGTTGTCCTGCCCTTGACCCAGTGGTACCCTCTATTTGGATTGCCATCCCTGCAAACAAAGGAAGAAAAGGAGATGCCCAGAGTTAGGAAACACACTTTTCTTAAGTATTCCTTAGAACTGTTGAAGAATGATGTTTATGCAGCCCCAAGAGGGATCTGGTCAGGGCTGGAAATAAACAAAGCCACCAAGATGAAGGGGTGCAGCTTGAGGTACCTCAATTATTTTTCCCGAGCATGAAATTCACAGCCCTTGGATTCTGGGATAGTTTGGAGAAGCCATTGGAAGCCTTTAAAAGACCAATGTCTTCAGGCTGTGGGCAGTCAGCCTGCCCCTCAAGAGAAGGACCCAACCAGTATTAGTAGAGGAGAAACACTTGAAATGATGGGGACATGGGAAGTGGCTGCCTGCAGAGAGGGCGGGCAGTGAGGGAAAAGGGCCAACTCAACACTTAAAGGTGCTTCCTTCAATAGGTCCCACAAACCATCTAACTACCGGATCCTGCTAGGGTACAACCAACTGGGCAGTCCCTCCAACTACAGCCGGCAGATGACAGTGAGCACGCTCATCTTTCATGAGAACTATAACAAGTTCTACAGTCAGGGGAGTGACATTGTCCTGTTGCAACTGCACGTGCCTGTGACCTACAACTCCCACATTCTCCCAGCCTGCTTCCCAGATAACACCACGAATGTGTCCCTAGAGATGGCCTGCTGGATAAGTGGCTGGGGGTTGCTCAATGAGGATAGTGAGTACACAGGGCAGGCAAAGAGGGTTGGGGGAGAGGGGTTGTGGAATTTCCAGTCCTTTTGAACCTCTGTCCATGATCTAAAAACCTCTAACCTTCAAATCAAAGTTTGGGGTCTCTGACTCCAAACTGTTGAGGACTCAGCACTCTGAGTATGGTTGACCATGCCCACTGTAAGGCTCCATCAAACACTGCTTACTCTTCACTGGCCAGGGAAGGCACTGGGTAGCTTAAGGAAATGACAGTACCCTGCCCTTTCTGGTCTGTGGCAAGTCAGGATGTTTATGACTAAGAAACACTGGGCTCTGTGAACCTCACTGCCCAGCCCGTAAGGCAAGGAAGACTTGCCAGTTCTGTCAGCTTGCACAATTGTCCCTGTGAAACATGGTTCTGAATTCAAGGATTCAGTCACCAGAAGACCAAAAGCCTTAGGGAGGGGGAGTGACACTCCTCCTGTCCTTTTTCCCTAAACAATACAGTACTGTTTGTATCTTGTTTGCTTCGTGTTGGGCATTCTGTGTCATTTGGAGATGATTTCAAGGAATTAGGAGATGTGCATAGGTACTGTGCATATTCTATGCCATTTTATGTAAAGGAATTCAGTGTCTATGGTGTTTGGTATCCTGGATAAGTGGGGAGGAATCCACTGATAGCAAGGGACAACTGTGTCTTTTTAGACTGAGAGTGCAGAATTCTTAGGGAAGGATTTTTATGGCCAGGAACCAGGAAACAGAAACCATGTTTCCAGGTCCAGCAGCTCCTTGAGACTAGCTAGTCTTCTTGTCATGCTGTCAAGCCTTCCTGGCTGTGTCATATGCCACTGGTCCACCCAGACCAGGTTCCCAGGCTCCACCCTCCCTGCCTCCAGCTTGGTCCTCACAGAGCAGCCAGAGTTGTTTGAAAGCCAAGAAGCCTCTTTCTTTGCTTTCCATATCCTTAAGGCACAGTCCCAGTCCCACAGGGCCCCCTCTTTTGATGGGAGGGGGGTGTGTGTCACGCTGACTCCCTGCTGGTCCTGCTCTCCACAGATCCTCATGCAGGCTCTTAAATGCCATTTTATCTTGTTATTGCATGTCTTTGGGGAGGCCTTTCCTGCCCCTGTGGCCTAAAGTGGCAGCTCTCTACAAGCAATCAGCCCGGAAGGGGAGGTGGCATCTTCTTCAGCTGCATCTCATGACTAAACCTCTTCCCACAGAATTCCTGCCTGCACCCTTCCATCTGCAGGATGCAGAGGTCTTCCTAATGGACAATAAGAAGTGTGAACAATTTTTCCAGGTTCCAGATAACACCAGAGTTCAATATCATGCTATAAAGGATGATATGATGTGTGCTGGGGACCTCATCAATGGGAAATCTATCTGCCGAGTAAGTGAGAATGGCTCAGACTTTACAGCTGAGCTCAGACACCTCTCTGCCCTAGAGGCCTCTTCTATATGGGTGGTAGGGCAGATGGTTCATGTCTCATTCCTAGAGTTGCCTTTCCACATTATAGATGTCTGTGACTGAACCTGCTAGGTGCTATGCAGGGTCCCCTGGCAGATTTGTAGAATCAGATTCTATGCTTCATTGAAGATGCTGACCCTAGAGGCATGTTTGGAATTTTTTTAATTACCCAAGAGGACCTGATGAGAACCACTCAGACAGCAGAGAGCCCTGGTGCCCATCAAGTTCTCTCCATTCTGGTCAATTTTTGCTCCTCCCTTTCTTGGATCCACTACCCATGTCCTCTCTCTCCTCAGGAAGATTCTGGGGGTCCCCTCACCTGCTTCCTGAATGGTACCTGGTACATGATAGGGCTGGCCATCTGGAGTGCATCGTGTCTAGAACCAATCTCCAGTCCCAACATCTTCACAAGGGTCTCTTACTTTTCTGACTGGATCCAGAATATAAAGAAAATCACACCCCCCAATGCTGACCCCTTCTCAACCCCTCCTGAGGAAGATGCCCCATCTCTGACTGGTTGGCAAAGTCGGGGCACTGTCATCAAACCCACGATCTGTATAGCCCTGCTGTCTTTCCAGGTCCTTCTGTGGCAGTTGATTTGGATCAGGAATCTGTGATGCACCCATAGAGCCCTAATAGCCAGCATGTCCTGCCAGCCTCTTCACTAAGCTCCATCCTCCACACTTCTATCTGTGGACTTGCCTGTCCATCTGAGGCCACCCCTGCTTCATGCCTGACAAAATAAAAACAACTGAAAAAACTTTTGGCTCATTTTTCTATCCCTTCAGTACCACCCTTCACGCCCCCCCAGGCTTCCAGCTCCTCATCATCACAATGCTCACCTCCTCCCTGGGCAGGGACGGTAGACAGAGACAGCCAGGTAGCTTTCTATGCAGGAGCTGAGTCTCTGTCCTTAGATAGTTGGATTCCACAGGCCAAGGCCCCGCTCCTGCTCCCAAGGCTGCATCTTCTTTCAGAAGAATGATCCATAGTGCTGGGTCAGGGTCCACCCCCCCACCACCCCTGGTCCCCATGGCTGGAGCAGCTTGTGCTCCTGAAGCAAGCCCTAGGCTGTATGTGCAGAATATTGTTGAGACCCAGAGGTCACAGAAGCTCTTTTGGAGAGATTGACAGTGTACTGTGAAGGTCCCCAAGGTCTGAGATCTCAGCAGCAATCCTGAGAGCTCCTCTGCAGAGTTTAGCAATCAGCTGCTGCCCCTATCCAGACCCCACTGTTAGGCCAAACTGGGCCCCAAAATGGAGTCACTATAGACCAGCAACTTGGTGACCACAACCTGGCGGGCAGAAAAAGAAACTAAACAATCCTAGTTTCTCAGTAACCACCTGCCCTTTGTTTTAAGAATGCACCCTAATCATAATGGCAATTTTCCATCTCAGTCAACCGAAAAACTGAAAAACACCTTACTGAAATGCCCCCTACCAATGCTATTGACTCACCTTCCTGCTATAGTTTCACCTCCCACCTTCCCACAAGAGAAAAATCCTACAATTCCCAGCCTGCTGTGACGAGAAACCACTCCTGTTGTGACGAGAAACCACTGTTCCCATTCTCCCACTGGAGCAGTCTAGCAGCTTTTCTAGCCCAATAAATTTCTTCTTTTCTTGCCTCGGAGTGGTCTCTAATGGTCCTGGTCTTTTCATGAACCTAACACCCACCATCTCTGTCTGAGAAGCCCAGCCCCCAATCCCTGTGGGCTTGCTTCACCCTGTATTGGCTGAGGCTTGGCAGACCCAGGAATTGCTGGCTTTAGCATTGAGCTGACCTGAAGACCTGTCTGTATCCTCATGAGTCAGTCCACATCCTCATGAGTCAGTATGGGAGTACAATAGGGCCTCATAGCCCTACCCTTCAACCTGAACTGTTGATAAGGGAGTTCCTGAGTCACTGCAAGCCCATAGGACCCTGAGAAAAATCTAGGCACCTAGAGCAAATCCTTTCCAGTCCTGTGGGAATGTTCCAGATCCTCCCCAGCAAGCAGAAACAAGACAACTGGTGTTGTTAGGGTCTGTGACTCGGTGGGTCTCTTCAGGAGAACAAATGCACA